GAATAGCTCAAACTGACCACAAGCCACACTGTTTTAATATGTCTGAAAAGTGACGGCCAAATCTGTAATCTGTAGGACGTGACAGTGGATGATGCTCATATCAAAGCCATCAACAAACTGGCAGCCAAACTAGAAAAAAGACAGAGTGCTGAGGAACTGGTGACTGTGACAAAGAGGAGGCAGCAGCTCAATGAAAGGTAACGTGTCTGAAGATCTTCCACTCGCTTCCAGTCATGTGTTTTTTCCCCACTCATCCAGATCAGGGTCACAGTGGGGCTGGAGCTAATTCCAGCTGTCATAGGACAAGAGGCAGGGCATATCCTGGACAGGTCACAAGTCTGTCACAGTCACAGGCTAACACAAATGCCTACATGGGTACCCATGCAATTATAGGGAGAACATTCACAGAAGGCCCCAGCTGACTGGTGGATTTCAACCCAGAACTTTCTTGCTGTGAGGCAACAGTGTTGACCAGCGCACAAACTACTTTCTGTGGCTTTCTAAATAATGCATCAAAGTGGTTCATCTCCTCCAGGTGGAGCAAATTTCACGTTGATCTGAATAATTACAAGAACCAGCTCGAAGAAGCTCTGGTGGTCCACAGGCTCATCAGAGAACTGGAGGAGGTCAGAGACAGAGCTAATGAAAAGGTCAGGCAACTGTTTTTTTAACCTTGATGCTGCACTTCTAAAACACAAAATTATTACACTGTGAAAAATGTCAGCGAAAACAGAATGCAGTGATTTGGAAATCTCATAAACTCATACAGTATTCACAAAGGAACATGAAAACAACTTCATCTAAAACTCCAGCAAATGGTCTCCTCAGCTGCCAGATGGACTGTAGTTAAAAGAAGTCAGGATGCTGCACAGTGGTAAACATTGCAATGTTCTAACTGTGTTGAAATGATGGACCTGAGCTGATGTACTCACCTTTAATCCCGTCCATCCTTCGTCACTCCCAGTCAGAATCTTAACATCTTTTCTATTTTTTATTGTGAATAAAATACGGGCTAATGAGATTTGCCAGGCATTGCATTCTGTTTTATTTACATTTGACCCAGCATTGCAACTTTTTTGGAACTTGGTTGGTATTTTGAAGAGGTTCCTCCTCGCTCTCTTTAGATGCTGCTGCTGCAGGATCAGGATTGTGGCTGCGATGTGGACAGTGTAGAAAACCTGATTAGACGCCACGAGGAAATAGAGAGAGAGGCTAGAGTTATCCAAGATAGAGCAAAGGTGAGGCACCCAAGGCTGCAACTGACACGTTCATTCTTTTTTCTTTTCTTTTTTTTTTGTGTCCCGTTTGGATCTTTAGCCATCAGAATTGTTGTCTTAAGGCCAAGAAAGATGCCAAGCGGATTTATTTCATTCTTGACTCTAGAAATTGTAACTGGAAAGCTTGCATGTAAGCTTGGTACCTGTTCATAAAGATGGTCACAAGCAGATGTTAAATAGATTAAAAACAAGACAAAAAAGCAAACCTTGACAGATGGAAACAAAAATCAGATGAATCTAATCTTGTTAAAACACACTTTCATCAAAAAACTAAATGCAGTTTTATAAGTCCAGCTCATTTGCCAAATTACCACCTCTATGACTAAAATGACTGACTTACTTCTGTCTCATCAGTCTCTGGAAGAAGGCTTGTTGGGTGATGTGAGTGCTCAGTCAGTGATGAGCGACAAGCTGAAGACCAAACAGAAAGAAGTCCAGAAGACTCTGAAAACTTTGGACAAGGAACTCAAACACAGGTAACTTTAATCTACTATTAGAAGCAACAGTGATTGCAATTATTTTAATTGCTGAAAGTTTTCAAAGGTCAGAGCATCTAGCAGTGAAACAGTGAAATAACTATGTAGGCACCAATGAAGTTTGCCAATGTTTTCTTTGCCATCTCTATAACTTGTCTAAAATCAAGCAGTCTGGCAAATTCCTTGAATTCCTCGCAGGATTGTCACTCAACACCTTATCTAGGCTACCGAGCAGCTTTTGAATTATCTGTGTGATTGTTGTTGATGGAAAGTGTGGTATTTCCAAAACCATGGAGTAGTAATCTGTGATTATCAGGTTGCGTTGGTGCTTACCCTCACATTGATCCATAGCAACTTTTTCCAGGGTTGTTCTGGGAGCAGCTTGGATATTGAGTTTAATTTAGTTAGTTTAGATATGAGAGGTTCTTTTGGTTGACTTTTCAATTCATAGCACACAGGTAGAGCACGGTCTTTACCTGTGCTCGTCTTTCGGTGCAGCTCTGTGTAGGCAGCTGTTGTTTTATCGTTTCATCCATTTTGCTGGTGGGTGCAGGAATCCCGTCCAACACTAGCCACACAGCATGCCACATCGCACTGAGTGTTAGCCAGAGGGCTAGGTGACAGGTTGTGATAAGCGTTTTCACTTTAGCATACTCCTATACTGGATTCTCATGTCTAAAATCATGGGAACATGTTGGGACTGTAGTTGCACACTGTTCCAGCTGTGGTATGTAATGAGAGGTACTGAAGCTCGGTCTGTCTAAACTAGCTAGGCCATCGAGGTAGCCCTCAAACTTTCTACAAGCCCACACACCTGCTAAAGGCTTTTTTCCCTCTCACCAAGCATGCAACATGTTAACCACTGGACTTTTAGAGGCCCAACAGTGTTTTACATTAGTAAAAATCAAAAATACGGATAGTGATCGAAAGAACTCCCTCAGGAAAAACTCAAGAAGAAATGGTCTTTTTCAGAAAAGAAAAGCTGCAGGAGGCTCACCAGTTGCAGCTTTTCAAGGCTAACCAGCGCCTCCTGCTGGAGTGGAGTCTCAAACAGAGCAGTGAGATGGCAGAAAAGGGACTTCCCAAGACCAGAACAGAGGCTGACCGGCTCATTGTGGAGCATCAGGACTGGAGGGTGAGCACTGTGGCTTACTTAAACTTTACTACCTTAATGAAGTAAATGTCAATTTTAAACTTTGCTGTTTTTAGACGGAGATTGACGCTCGTGCTGAACGCATCGACTCTGTCAGGGACTTTGGTCTGGGTCTCATCCGGTCTGGTCACAGCTCTAAGTCAGAGATCCAAAAGGCTTTGAACCAGCTAGAGGAAGCTAAAGCTGGACTGGACCGAGCCTGGTTGAACCGTAACATAACCTTGGAGCAGGCCCGTACACTACAGGTGACACAGCAGTGGCCCCCAAAATAATTTAATATGACTTTTTGATGTGAATAATTAATTAATATAGTCTCCTTCATATTTATAAGTATATTTGCAAAATTAATTTGCTTAATAAATGTCAGATTTAATTAAAATAAATATACTTCATGTATTGTAAGTTAACCTGGTCCTCTCAGCATTACACTGAATAATCCTTAATATAATTGACGAGATCAGACAAGATCGGGCGTTCTCAGGGTGGTATGGCTGTTCTCTGACTGCAGCTCAGGAGGTAGAGCAGGTCATCTACTGATCCTCCTCCAGTCTGCATGCCAAGTATCTTTGGGCAAGATACTAACCCCAGATTGCTCTCCCTGATGCTACATTTGCTATGAATGGTAGTTAGGAAGCACTAAGAACCTTAGAAGACAGTGCTTGTGTGATTGAGTGAATGTGGCATGTTGTGTAGAGTGCTTTGAGTACTCTGGGAGAGTAGAAAAGTGCTATATAAGAATCAGTCCATTTACCATAATTGACACATATGATTGAGCTACTTTACATAACTGAAAAGTTTCAGCTACCTTAGCAAAGTGGATTTTGTGCCTTCTTGTAGTTAGACGTAAGGCAACTATGAGACACAGCTTTAGCAGTCGGATTAGCTTATGCTGAGCTCTTCTCTGTATCCTTCAGATCTTCCTGACCTCTGTAGAACAATGTGAGAGCTGGCTCAACAACAGTGAAGCCTTCCTGTCCAATCAGGACCTCGGGGTACGGATGATTTGCTTCAGAATCATACATATATAGGAAAGTACTCTTATGCTGTGAAAGCAACCTATTGTTTTTGCAGAGCTCAGTGACAGAGGTAGAAACACTGCAGAGGAAGCAGATTCAGTTTGAGGAAGCCCTGGAGGCTCAGGGAGACCAGCTGGACCAGGTAGAGAAGCTGGCCCAGGAGATGATCCAACAAAAGCACTATGATGCCAACAACATCAGAGCAAAGAGCAAAGCACTGACCACCAGGTAGTCATCAGACGTCTCAGCCACACACTTTCCAATTAAAGCAAGTAGCTGGAAATAATGTTTTGACTCCTGCTTGCTCACCTGCTGTGTTTGCGCAGGCGGAGTCAGTTGCAGCGGCAGAGCAGATCTCGTTACAAAGCTCTGGATCAATCACTCCAGCTGCAGCAGTTCTTGTCCAGCAGCTACCAGGTAACTTTCTGAACTCTGCTGAAGCCTGATCTGTATTGTTCTTCTAGGGGTCTATAGCTAATTTGTGTTTTCCAGGTATGTGTGTGGCTGAATGAGCATAACGCCATAGCACTGGATGAAAACTGGAGGGAACCAACCAACCTTCAGGCAAAGCTGTTAAAACATCAGAGCTTTGAAGCAGAGATCCTCGGCAACCGCTACAGGGTGGAAACCCTCACTAAGGTGGATTTTCTCAAGTGTCTGTGTATTTCCCTGATTACAGCTCTAGCTGTTGGGCTGGACAGTTAACGGTTTATTCCTGAGAAGTGTCAAAAAGATTATCCCATAAAAATTTTTGTCCTATTTAGACCTTCTCTTAGATTTTGCAAACATTTCAGAATTTATTGTTTGTTTACACCATTGGGAATATAAAATGTTGCCTATTGGGTGCTTTCCAGGAAGGAGAGAAGCTGCTGTCTGAGTCTCTGTCTGCTGAAGGAAAGGTTCGACCTCGACTCAGAGAGCTGACTGACAGCTGGGATACTCTGATCCACAACTGCAAGGAGAAGAAAACTAGACTGCAGGAGGCCTACCAGGTACTTGCACAGTCATGTTTAATGTTGCCCTTAAAACTATAACTTAATTTCAACCTACTCAACTTTAATCCTTAACTAAATCTTCATAGAAAACATTAAAGATTTCTTTCATGGGGACTTGCTCATTGCCCTGGAATTGCAGGGAGGCACATAAAGTTCTCTGAATGCCCTTTGTGTGTTTAGGCATTGCAGTTCCAGCGTTCATTGGATGACATGGAGCAGTTCGTGGCGTCAGTGGAGAGGGAGCTGGCCAATGAGGACTGTGGCAGTGACCTACCCTCCGTGAACAGACTGCTGAAGGAACTGCAGGCGGTGGAAGAGGAGATGGATGGACACCAAGACCGAATCCAGGTGCAAGCGCGAGGGTGGACATGTTTAGTTGTTTTAAATCCTCATAATTTTTTTAGTTTGATTTTTTTTTCATTACTAATTATATCTAAGCTACATACTAGATTACTTCTATAATGATATTATAGCCGTCATGGTCCTGGGTCTTTGTCCCAAGGTTTATAATATGGATTGTGTGAATCGGGTTAAAATGATATTCTAAGTTAGGCTAGATTCTCTAATTGTTTCATGTTCGGTTTTCTTGTAATTCTGAGTTCTCATTCGATCATTTAGTTTCTGTTTAGTTTCTAGCTCTTAGCAAGTAAGAAAGTAAAATTTTATTTATATACCACCTTTCAAGACAAAGATCACAAAGTGCTTCACAAAGAAATACCAAAGCATTTAAAAGAAAAAACAGACAAAAAGGTTCTTAGTGATCATAGTTTTCCCTGCCTCTGAGTCTAATGTTCTCCTGTCAGTCAGTCTTGTCTCTGTGTTTATTCCTGTCTCCCCAATTGCTGCGTCTTGAGTTTCTGTCTGTGGGTTTCCCGTGTCCTGTGTCTAGTATATTCATTTTTGCTTCCTCCCTGTCCCATTATGCCAGTTAGCTTCCAGCTATGTTTCCCATCCCTTGTGTATTTAGTCCCCTGTTGTCCTCTGCTTGTTGTCGCGTCATTCCACATTGCTGCGTGTCTCTCCCATGGTCCTCGTTTCTCCTAGTGGTTCTAGTCAGCTCCGATTCCTAGTTTCTCTGTTCCTAGTTTTCTAGCTTCATAGTTCTTTGTTTCCAGTTTTAAGTTATGTTTACTGTCTCAGTGTTTACAGCAAAATAAAGCTGCCTCTTTTAGTTCATCACCTTTGTGTTTTAGTCCTGCATTTGGGTTCAGCTCCTGGCTGCCACACAGCACACTCATGACAATAGCCCACCCTACTTCACAACAAACATTATTGTGAAATTTATTTTAAAAAACCCACCATATTGTTAACATCAGCTAAATGTTAGTGGAGACACATTATTCATGTTAATGATTATATGTTTAACTCAGTTTAAAGTCTAAAGGGAAAAATAACCTTACTTATACGTCTGTGGTTTCCAAACTGGCATGCCACTCTAGAGTTGCCTGCCACCATCATGGAAAAAGAGCATTGTCACTAAAGTGTCGGCTTGCTTTGTAAATCCACTGCATATATGAAGTATATGTAAATGTATATATTTTATATATCAGGGTCTGGTGGACACAGCAAAGAGCTTCCACTCTCAGGGTAACTTCCTGGCTGAGGAGATTCAGACCAGAGTGGCACACACCATCAACAGGTTTGTAAACAGTAGATCATTTGCACTGTGAAGAAATCTGGTTGTATACATAATGTAGCCGACTTCTTCATGTCTCTTTATAACCTTGGAAGAGGTTGATGCTCTTCCAAGGTTATAACAACTATTATAAAAATTAAAATATCACTAAATGAGAAAAAAATGTTTTAAATGTATTTCACTGGTGTTGGTCTTTACTCTGACAGGTACAACAGCCTGGCGCGGCCCCTGCAGAGACGTAAGGAGAACTTGGAGGCCTGGCAAGTCCTGTTCCAGTTCTACAGAAATGTGGAGGAGGAAACGGCCTGGCTGAATGACAGACTGCCCTCCATCACTGCCAAAGACCTGGGCAGCTCCCTCAGCAGTAGCCAGCAGCTGCTCCACAAGCACCAGGTGAGGAAGGAAGAAAACATATCTAAATTAATTAATATTCACATTATTACAGACATCATAATTTTAATAGGACATTTATAACCTCCTGGACTTTATTTGTAGCTCCAAATTGCAATTGTTTTTATAGTTAAGGACATCTTTTATTAATTGTTTAGTGGTCTGGTCATAAGTTATTAACTAGCATCTATGGTTCTAATTGTTCCAGGTTTTGGGTCACTTTTGTTGTGTTTATTGAAATAAATAATTTGCAAATCATTTTTTAAAGACCTTGATGCAAGAGATCTCTGGACGCATGCCATTGGTCCAAGCAGTTCAGGAGGCGGGGCGTAGTCTGGTAAGGATCTCTTTGATTTTGGCAT